CACCCCTTTGGAGTACAGACATCGAAGGTCCAGGTTTGTTTTTCACTCAGCGTTTTATTCTCTACTTGTACTTTTCACTGTCTCCGGATCGGCCTCGCGCCTGGCCAGGGACACTGCCCCAGCCCTGAGCGCTAGGGGCAGGCGTGGGATAGGCAGGCCGCGGAGTAACCCTTCGGGCCTCCCACACTCCCGGAACCCACCGCCCAGGCGCCGCACCCAGAGGGGACACAGTTCGGCGCTGGACCGGGGCTGCGCGCGCCAGTTCCGGTCCCATTCAGGCCTAAGTAGCTCCGCGGAGCCCGATAGGGAAGGGCGCGGCGGTCCGCGGAGCGGAGGAGACGGAGGACTCGCGCAGCCTGGCCGAGGTAGAGCCGCGCCGCCCGCTGCCTCTCTTCCTTGGCCGGCGCCGCAAGCCGTGGCAGCCCCCTCAGCCTTTCGGGCCTGGAGTGAAGTGTGCACCAACCAGACATGAGCCCGCGCGCCGCCCCCGCCGGCGCGGCCCCTCGTGCGCGCGTTGCGCGCGCTCCCCGTCCGCGGCCAGCAAGGTCCCAGAGCGCCCGCCTGGGGCGTCGCTGCGGGCCTCGGGTCCGGCGTTCCCTCTGTGCTCCCAGAGGCCACCAGGCGTGTCTGGCACACTTTGAATCCCCTGCCACTTCCTGGCCTGCGGCCCCGGCCGGATGGCTAACCTTCTGGGCTTCCGGCCTCCACCGTCCAGTGGGGAGCGCAGCGCCACTCGGAGGGGTGCGGGAGGGGAGCGTGGGAGGCCGGTGGGGTGGCACCGACGGACTCACAGCCCCTGCTGGGAGATGGCAGTGAGCTGGGGCAGTTAGCGTCGTTTTTATCTCTTGTGTCAAATTCATCTCAGTTTCTTGTAGCTGTGAGTTGCCGTGGAGTCTGCTCCTGTTGTAGGAGATCTTGCCTATACCAGTGAAGGGTCCCCCTTCCGGCATGGTCCTCACTGTCAGTGGTGTGTTGCAGCCACTGTGGTGGTCCCTGCCGTGGAGGGGTTCCCTCGTTTTCCCTTCACCAGCCACGATGTCCCTTCCTCGCAACTGGTCTTTCCTTATGCTGTGTGCAAAAGAAACGGCCGCAGAGACCAGCCTTGTGTAATGTCTACTCTGCTGCCTGGAGTGCTCAGTCTAGTGCCTTCAGGGACATAGATCTTGAAAGAAACATCTCCTGGCAGAGGGCAGAGAGACCTGGAAGAGGGGAGGCTTCAAAGAGGAGGTGATGTCTGAGCAGGCTGCAAAGCGATGGGAGAGCTCAGGAGTGGGAGAAGGAGCTTGCGGAGTTGCTGGCCTGAGTCCAGGGAGAGGAGGGAGATGGGGGGTGCTGAGGCGGTGGCCAGGGCCAGGCCAGGCTTAGAAGGGCTGTGAGCACAGGAGTGACCTGACCATGGGGTGTAGCATCCTTCCCTGAGTCCCTACCACGACCTTTGTAAGACGAGGAGTTCCCTGCCCTCTCTGTGACCCTTCTCAAGGCACACTGAACCGGTGAGTTAAACTGTGGCCTGAGACAGCGGATGGCATTTTTTCAAAAGGAGCATTTGGCGTCCTCACTGGGACATGGGTTTCAAATGTGCGCTTCCCTTTAGTTTTGAGTTTTTGTCTGTGTCGCCTGTGAGGGTCACGGGAACATCTGTCACTTAAGAGTCATTTTGGAAACAACCTGCAACACCACAGACATCACATTGAAGTAATCGCTCTCCGTTCTGCACACAGGAATGGGGCCGTCCCCATCCCACCCCTCCCCTCCTCAGATGTCCTCTCCTGGGGTCTGTGTGAAGCTGGGTAGGGGCTCGGGCATGGTGTGTGAACGGCTCAGGTGCTGATTTAGTCATTTAGAAAGGAGCCGCCTCATTTGAATGCCAGTGTCGCTCTTGTGGAGTGAATTTGCCTGGCGTGGTGAGCCTCCATTGGACGAGCCGCCGTGGAAGGGTGGTGCGGCCACACGGCCCGGCCACGTGCCTTCTCATGTTCCCTGTGAGGCAGCAATGCGGGCTAGCTGGAGCAAAGAGAACTGCTAGAGAGGAGTGGACGTCCAGGTCGAGGTCTGCATGGACTCTGGACCCCGTGTTCTTGGCCAGTGTCTTGCTTAAGACGTAAAAGCTGTGGTGGCCACTGTGCCCTTCGGACTTTCACAGCTACAGCTGTGCTCCCCGGCCATTCTGCAAGGAGCCTTTCCCGTCACCTGTGGTCCCTGCAGTCAGGCAGCCACCTGCTACCCTGCTCCATGTGCCTCACCCTCAGACCCCTTTCTGATGGTTGGGTCTCTCTGACGCTGGTGTAACATCCTGGATGCATACTTCTGTGTGCATCTGGGTAGGTGTATGTGTGCATCTGGGTAGGTGTACAGAGGATGTACCTTAGGACAGACCTTAAGCCTGCAATCATGGGAACAGAGGGGTTGTGTTTCCTGTTGTCAGGGTTTCAGTGTGTGTTTGGGTTTTGATGTAGCTGTGGAGTACCCTCTCCAGATGGCGGACTCATCCCAGTTTCACGAGGACAGGAGGCGACTGCCCATGACTGAGGTGGTCCTTTGGTTATTCTGTGCACCAAAAAAAAAGACCAGACTCACTGCCATCCAGTTTGTTGACTCAGCAACCCCCATTGTGTTTTCAAGGTGATAAATCTTTATGGAAGTAGATTGCCCAGGCTTCCTTCCATGGAGCAGCTGGTGGGTTTGAACCACCGACCTTCTGGTTAGCAGTCAGATGCCTTAGGCACAGTGCAGTTTAATTCTGTATGATGTCATCTCTGGGCAGTTCCTCACCATGGAACAGGCTTCGTGAGTGCCCTTCACACTCGTGTCTGGCAGGGAGGGTTGGCGCGTGGGCTGGCTGGGCCGGGCAGGGCCTCGGCTCCCCTTCTTGCTCCTCTGTGGCCTTGGGTGGTCACTTCACCTCTCGGGTCCCGTTTGGAGTTGGCCCACCCCCAGCCCACGAGGATTTACAGCACTGGAAGATGCGCTCATGTTGGGTTAAGAGACATGAGGGGGCTGTGTCAGAATGTGTCGCGTGTCCATGAGGGCCGAGAGGCAAGGGACTGTGGGAGGGGCCTCAGCAGACCCACCGTACTCCCGGCAGCTAGACCCAGAACCTGCAGCAGGGAGGGCAGGTGCCACGAGTCCTGACCTCACTTTCCTGTTTGAAAGGCAGCTGGCCTCCCTCCTGAGAGCCCTGTGGTGCTGGCTCTGGCCGAGGTTGTTGGAAGGGACGAGGGAGTGAGAAGTAGCCACTTGGGGAGCAGGTTGGGGCTTTGATCTTTCGCCTGCCCTGTGGCCTGTCGGGCACGTACAGGCAGTAGCCCCTTCCCACCGTGCTGTGCTCCTTAGCACCCCTGAGCTGTCACCTCCAATCAACACCTCTTAGCAGCAAGGGTCTGGTGTTGGGGTGACAGTACAGAAATACCAGCAGGAGGGTTTCGATTTACAGATTCTCTTGTTTTCATCCCCCCCAAACACACACACACACACACACACACACACCTGCAAAGCAAATTATGAAGAATTTACTAGAAGTGAGAAAAGGAACCAGGGTACAGCTGCCCTGGTCGGCTTCTCACTGGAGCCCTTGCTTTCTGAAGCCTGTCTCTCACGTGTTTATCACGTTTCTTGTTTGCTCTGCACCGACCCAGCTGCTTTCTTCACAGTTCTTTACAGCGGCAGAGACAGCGGGGCGACCCATAGGCGCGCAGGGCAGGGTGCAGACAACTGTGAGGCACCCTTTCTGCCATAAGCTGCTTCTCCAGCCCAGAGAGCGTGGCCGGCCTTGCAGGAGGGCCGTGTGTACTTGAGAACTGACCCTCCGGTGGAGCCTGATGAGTGGTTTAGGGATAGCCACGTGTGCTCACCCAGGCGGGAAGACTGGGTCTCTGTGGCCCATGTTCCCCCCCCTTGGCAGGGAGGCAGGATGCGTTCCCAGGACCCAGCCCAGCTACCTGAACGCACCCCGATACCCCAGAGGCCCCGGAGCTCTAATGGTTCCTTGGGGGATTTGTTCGTCATCTTAGATCATTACGACGTGTTGTGTACAATCTCCTTTTTAAATGAACATGAAAGAGCAGAACCGTTTAGTATGTGTGACAAAAAATAACATGCTAGTTTCCCTTGCAGCAAGTTAGTGAAAGAGGGAAAAGTGAGAACTTGTCAGAGCATGTACGTGGAGCGGCGTGAGAGACGGGGGAGAGAGAGGGGTGAGGGGCCGGGGCCCCTGGCTCCCCTTACTCAGCACGAGACCTTCACCAGGGGGCTTCAGCCGGGTTCCCGGGCCTGTCAGAGCAGGGCATGGGACTTAGAGCTTACATGTTGGGAATGTGCCGTGTGGGGGTTTGGGATGGTGGGAGTGGGGTTTAGACTCGGGGATCCTGCCCGGACGCCCTTGGCAGGCTCCTCCACAGCCCCCTACTCTTAGAAGTGCCCTGTGCCCAGGAGCACGGAAGCCCGAGGCTTGTCCTCACAGGGACGACCGGGCTTTCATCCAGGGCCCTTGGTTGTCGTTCATCTCAGCGACCACGTAGTGCTGGGGATGGTCACTTGTTATCCTGTGAGGCCGCGGGGACGACCGGGCTTTCATCCAGGGCCTATGGTTGTCATGCATCTCAGTGACCACGTAGTGCTGGGGATGGTCACTTGTTACCCTGCAAGGCAGACGGTTCACAGAGACCACCTGCCCCTGGGATTGAGCTGAACTTGTGAACGGCTGTTGGTTGGAGCTGTGGAAAGTGCCTTCTCCCTTTCTCAGGAAGTACGTGGACCGAGCCCTGTGCCTGTCAGGGCCTTCGGGCTGGGCCTTGGGGTCTGCCTTGTCCTCCTCTTTTGTAACGTGCAGGACTAGGGTCTCCCTTACCCTGGTGTGACCTCAGGTTAAAATAACCAATAGCACCTTCGGAGACCCTGTTTCCCACCAAGACTGTGCTTACAGGTATAGGGGCTTGAGCACATGTTGTTGGGGGTCACAGTTCAACTGTAACCTCATCCATCTTCATTTCAGTACCGTCAGCATGACGTATCCTCACGTGATGTTGCAGCTCCGTCGCCTGGCGTGGGCCTGGGCCTCCTGCAGACCGGCTGCTCTGTGGCGCAGAGGGCGGGGTCTTCTGCACACAGCCTCGGCTGCCTGCCCTGACAGCGGTGGCCCAGTGTTCACCCAAGCCCTGGCCTTTGGGGACAGGACGGCCGTCGTCGACTGGCATGGCCGCCACACTTACCAGGACCTGTACCAGCGGAGCCTGTGGCTGTCCCGGGAGATCTGCAGACTCCGGGCGTGCACCAGTGGCGACCTGGGTGAGGAGCGCGTCTCCTTCCTGTGTTCCAATGACGCGTCCTACGTCGTGGCGCAGTGGGCCTCCTGGATGAGCGGCGGCATCGCAGTCCCCCTGCATAGCAAGCACCCCGCAGCCCAGTTGGAGTACTTTATCCAGGACTCCCGTAGCTGCGTGGTCGTGGCCGGCTCCGAGCACCTGGCGCTCCTGGGCCCCGTGGCCAGCAGGCTGGGTGTCCCGCTGTTGCCGCTTCCCCCAGACGTCTGCACTGGGGCAGCAGAGGGCCTGCTGCGAGGAGAGGTGCCTGCTCCCGACTGGAAGGCGTGGCCCTGGAAGGAGCGGGGGGCCATGCTTATGTACACGAGTGGCACCACGGACCGGCCCAAGGGTGTCCTGAGCACTCACCGCAACGTCAGCGCCATGGTGAGTCCACACGGCCAGCGGTGCGAGCGGTGTTTCCGAGGCTAGCCATGTCATTGGCTCTAAGCTGGACTTGGGGATTGTTCAGTGGTGTTCTCACCCCTGCCCCCAAGTCTAATTGAATCCTCAGCACGGCTGGTCTCGGTCAGTGTGGCCAGCAGTTGCATTGCCTGTGCGGACCAGCTGCGGGAACTGACTCTGCTCAAGGGTCTGTGGGGTCACGCAGAGGGGCCCAGGTGCCCGTGGAGTGACCCACCCAGAACTGACCACACAGGTGATTTTGAAGTATTTTCCAAAGAGAAAAGCCCCACAGTGAGTGTGCAGCGTTCGTGAGCAGACCCTCAGCTGACACTCCGTGGAGAACCAGGAAGCAGGTGCCCTTCGATGTGCCTCCTTGTCGTGTGCTGTATTTTTGTGTCTGAATGTCCTTCACACGACCCCGGCCGAGTGATGTGTCTGTAATCTGTGCTCTGCTTTCTTCAGAGAAATATCTGTAAGTGCAGTAAGCAACTAGGATGCTGTAGAACTGATTAAAAATATAAAACCTCAAGGCCAGAGAGCAGAAGGCAGGAAGCAGGCTCACCCAGCGGAGGTGACGCGGCCTCTGCGTCCGTGTCCAGCTCTGCTCCAGGCTGCTGGCCTGCAGATATGTCACCGTCACTGGCCTTTGTCTGGGGAGTACGTGGCTCATCTCCTAGAGAGGGTCCCTGTGCGTGTCCCTACACAGGCCCTGGCATCAGGCCTCCCCCAGCCTCTCTGAATCCCTGCCTCTGCCCCTGGCCCCTCTCACAGTGCCCATGTTGCCTGCAGGTGACGGGGCTGGTGGACAAGTGGGCGTGGACATCCGATGACGTCATCCTTCATGTGCTCCCGCTGCACCATGTCCACGGAGTGGTCAACACACTGCTCTGCCCACTCTGGGTGGGTGCGGTCTGCGTCATGCTGCCTGAATTCAGCGCCCAGCAGGTGGGTGGGCGGCCCGGGTTTCACAGGCTGTGGCGACCTGTGGTGGTTGTCATGGTGACACAGCACATGTTCACTCTTGATGCCCTAGAGGTCGAGGCCCTGAAATCAAGCTCTGGGTGGGCTGGACCTCGGGAGGCTCAGGGTCCGTCCCTCGCCCTGTGCAGCCTCCCCAGGCTACAGCCATGGCTTGGGGCCACCCTCCCCCACTGCCGTGTGAGCACGTGGCTGGCTTCTGTGTATGACCCACCTGCCTCGCGTGAGGGCCTCGGGGTCACGTGATGCAGGACACCTCTCGGCTCCTTTGCTCCCTCCTCCTGCAGAGCCCCTCTGTCCTGTGAGGTCATGTTCACAGATCCAAGATGAGCCGTGCGGTGCTTGGTCCTCACTCTGCTGACTGCCCCTGTGCTCAGTGATTCAGAGCGAGGGATGCAACGGGAGGCCCCGTGCTCATCTCTCTTTACTCCTCTTTCTCTGGACACTTGACACCCCGGGCCTTGTCTGTGAGGTACCGAAATCAGAAAGCCCTTTGGCAGCGACTTCCGCTCCGTGGGGTCTGTAAGCCTGTGAGCACTGAAAAGCAGAAAGCCAGCCTTTCTCCATGGCTTTCGACTGCCCGGGGTTTGCTTCCCACTTGGGCTGTCCAGGGCTCACCAGCGCATGACGGCCTGACTTACCGTCTTGCGGCGTGTGCTGAGTTCTGGATAAAGGATCATTCTTCTTCCTCCTGTTTCGTCAGTGGGGAGGCTGAGGTTCAGAGGAGAAACCTGTCCCCCAGCCTGTGATGGAGGGAACATTCCTCTCTGTTCACCACGTCCCACCTCCCACTGGGCCTGAGTGAGGGCTTGCTTGGCCCCCACCCTCTGAACGACTTGAGCCCTGTCTTCCTCGTGCACCAGAAGACCACCTGCCTCTCTCCTTACCAGCAGGCAGCAGGCAGGACTCTAGGCCTCGTCCCTGCTCTCTGTCCCCTGCTGTGTCAGGATTCAGACACCCCGTGTCACAAGACACAGCAAGCACTGGGTTCATGGACAGGTGGCCTTGAGTGTGAGCCCTCACCTCTCTGACCCTCGGTCTCGTCATGGACGGGTGGCCTTGAGTGCGAGCCCTCACCTCTCTGACCCTCGGTCTCGTCCTCTGAGAAGGAGCAGCTTCATAGCACTGTGTTCAGGAACCCACGGTGCGTTCTGTGAGGGAGGGCCCAGGAGAAATATGACACACCAGTTTTTCTCAAAGATTCAGGGGATAAAATGTGAGACGTTTAATGGGTAAGAAATATAAAGCATCATTATGTTAAACAAAATGCCAAAAACAAACCCATTGCCATCAAGTCAGTTCTGACTCATAGCGACCTCCATTGGGTTGATGAGGCAGTAAATCTCTATGGAAGTAGGTTGCCCCGTCTTCCTCCTGAGGAGTGGCTCATGGGTTTAAACCAGCAACCTTCTGGTTAGCAGTAAGATGTCTTAGGCACTATACCACCAGACCTCCTTTATGTTAAAACAAACACTTATTATGGGGTAAGGAGCAGAGTGCCTATGAAACACAAGCCTTCACCCACTCACACCTGTTGGTGCCTATCGGTGCCAGGCCTTGGGTGAAAGGAACATACTGGCCTCTGGGGTGGTCCCCCGGGCTATGTGCGAACTTCCTGGAGGCACATTTCCACGCCTCTGCACAACCAGGCATGTCTGGAGTACAGACCCAAAAGTGGAGCCCTGCTGCCCTTAGCCTGCGTGGTCCCCTCGTGGCCCGGACATGAGTCGGCCCTGCCCAGGCTGGCTCCGTGGGAACACACCAGGACTACTTATGGAGTCCCCAGTGCTTAAAACAAGGACAGGCCTGTGGGCCACAGGCTTCCTCACTGGCATGAAGAGGGGCCCAGCCTTGTTTGTCTGGAAATTTATGTCTGTCTACTTCCTTCATCCCTTTTAGGTTTGGGAAAAGTTCCTGAGTTCTGAAACTCCCCGGGTCAGCGTGTTCATGGCAGTGCCCACAATCTACTCCAAGCTGATAGACTACTACGACAGACATTTCACTCAGCCTCACGTCCAGGAGTATGTGCGAGCAGTGTGCCGGGAGAGAGTCAGGTGAGCCCCACAGTGCAGTGCACACACCTGCCTCACGTCCAGGAGTGTGTGCGAGCAGTGTGCCG